CCCCAATAAAAAACAAAACAAACAAAACTCATTGAAAGCTAAAAACCTTGTAAGCTTCTTGCTAATAAACTGCACTTCCCGCTTCTCGCACATATTGTGCATACGCATATGGCTTACGTCACAGCTCGCCAATGACACTCTTTAGTTTCAAAACTTCTTACAAAATTTTTTGTTTATAATGAATACATTTTTTATTGCACTAAAGGTTCCCTAATCGTAATTTGCGTTCAATAAAGATACTATTGCGATTAGAAAAAAATGACAGACTTGCTTTTAAAAGCGAAATTGCCCGAGCTGTAAACTTTTAAAAATCTGAAGAAACCATCGATTTGGGTTTTAAAAATTAGTGTTTATTTAGGAATTTTTAAAGAATAAAATAGTGTGCAGGAGTTTGAAGAAATATTCACCTGTTAAGACAAATTGATATAAGTCATTGTGTAAAAGTTGGAGAATCTATGTTCGATAGGTAAGGAGATATTTCAAAATACGCAGGACGCTGCGCCATGCATTTATTTTGACCGCACTATGTATATTATAGTCTATGCTAGCAAACAACTCCCAGCCTTTCCTTTGTTTTAATGGCAAAGTTTAAAATCAAAAGTCATCTCTATTCTCACGACAACATGTCATGTAAACGCAGTTTCTTTTTTCAACTTTTGAATCGTACATTTTCTTTTTGCTTTGCCTACGCCTGCGTTATTACTGTTTCTTTTCGGGTTTATTTCTCGGAGAGAGGCATACAATAGCACAACATGTAGATTAGCATGGCTAAAAATAAAAATAAAGGAAAACAGTCAAACTTTTGTCCAATCTCCAATCTTCACTCGGACGGGCATGAAAATGTTGTTTTCATGCGAGACTCTTGAATAGATCCTCATGTCGAATTGGCTGGTCATTTGAACTTTGTTGGTTCGGATCTATTTCGCCAGCTGATATCATTATGGTATAAAAAAAAATATTACACTCATTATGCTGTAAGACCGTGATTTATCCTACTTGTAAAATTGCCAGTTGTAATCCCTCATTGAAACTCATGATTTCACTCGTAGGATAAATCAAGATTTAACACCACCACTCATTTAATACATTATTTATCTCTCATATTATGCATGGTTCGGACCCTTGTAATACTGTGTTTAGACACAGTTTCCGTCCTTTCACTCACTCTTGTATCGCTGTATTTAGACAAAGTTTCCGTCCTATCACTCTTGTATCGCTGTATTTAGACAAAGTTTCCGTCCTTTCACTCACTCTTGTATCGCTGTATTTAGACAAAGTTTCCGTCCTATCACTCTTGTATCGCTGTATTTAGACAACGTTTCCGTCCTATCACTCTTGTATCGCTGTATTTAGACAAAGTTTCCTTCCTATCACTCTTGTATCGCTGTATTTAGACAAAGTTTCCGTCCTTTCACTCACTCTTGTATCGCTGTATTTAGACAAAGTTTCCGTCCTATCACTCTTGTATCGCTGTATTTAGACAAAGTTTCCTTCCTATCACTCTTGTATCGCTGTATTTAGACAAAGTTTCCGTCCTTTCACAATACACAGAAACGTCACCGGCGTCTGTGATGTGACGTCATGGCGCTCGCCGTCACACGTAGAAGACTCATGTTCAAGACCCGTGTGGAGAGGATTTGTTATCGAGTATCTCGGTCTTTCTGCACTGACATTATAATCCTCTCAATACGGGTCTTTGTCATCATCAATCATCATCAATGCCTTTTACCCCTGGCAGGGTATAGGCCACATATAATATGCTCCTTCCATTTATTCCTGTCCTGAGCCATCCTTCCAAGCTCGTTCCAAGTGAGCTTCATCTCTCTCATGTCCCTTTCCACGCATCTCCTCCATGTTTCCCGTGGCCTACCCCTGCTTCGTGCTCCTTGTGGGTTCCACTGCAGTGACTATCTTGTGATGTTTCCACTGGGCTTTCTTAAGGTGTGTCCCATCCATCGCCACTTTGTTAGTCCTATTTTTACTATCCTTTTGTCCTGTCCTTTCCCACAGCTCTTCATTTCTTATTCTATCCTGCCACTTAATTCTTAAAAGGCTCCTCATACATCTGTTGATGGAAAGTCTGGACTTTATTCAGTACTGTCTTCGTTGTCTTCCACGTTTCGCAGCCGTAGAGGAGCACAGACTTGACGTTGGAATTAAAGAGTCGAATCTTGGTGCACAGTGAGATGTTGCTTGCTTTCCAGACTTTTG